ACAGTTAAATCAAACTCTTTACATTCAGTGCAGCACCAGTCGGCTGTTAATTGGTATTTCTTGCCATATATTTGTATGTGAAAAGCTATGCAGAACCACATCTCAGGCATTACTGTTATTTCTGTGAAGCTTGACGATTTCCCTTGATTCTTTAGTGAAAGTACGGACGTTTGCTTTCGAGAGGGCAGCACCTATACCTATCTTTACAGTTCTTAGAAGAAGCTGCAGCCACTTCAGACACACCTGAAACACCTGAACACAGGAGCCGACCCTTTAATGTAGCAGAGTATCGAATCTAGTCTGTGTCTTCTGCTCTGCACAGGAGAGGGAGAGACCTCAGCCAGAGGAGAGGCAACCCGGGTCATCGGGACACGACTCTGCTGGAGGCACCCGTGTAAGTGGCGAGTGAGCGTTATTAGTGTTTGTTCAGTCTCTGTAGAGACTCCCTGGTACGCCGACTGTGTGTGTGTGTGTGTGTGGTTTGTGTCTCTGGTGTAGATGCCACTCAAGTCGCTCGGCCTCCCTCGCCCACGCCGTCTCCCTCCTCTCGAGCCTCGGGCTGAGCCGAGCTTCCCGTCCCTCTTTCTCCGGCAACACATGGCCATAGCCAACGGTACCTGGCAGCGAACAGCGCGTCAAGGTAACCAAGCCGCTCCTGTCTGCTCTCCACACACACCACATCACACACCCACACAACACCACCACCACCTCGAACTGGCTCTCTTCTTCCGAGAGGAGAGGAGAGGAGAGAAAAAGAGGAGAGGAGAGCAGAGAGGTTGTTTTGGTGCGGCAGGCGGCTCTTGCCTCCTGAGGAGTGCTGTTGGGGATCTCTCGCAGGATGACGACACACCGACTCTGACTGGGCCGGACCTTCTGACCACACGGAGCCACCTGGACCAGCGGCAGGGCTGCCAGCCAATCAGAACAGAGAATATCTTTCATATCTTACGTAAAACAATAAACCACACTGACTCTCAGACTAATCTCTGGGTCCACATCACTGCAACTACTCACAGCTGATTACCAACATATAGTAAAAGTGTCACCACTGACTTTTCAGAATGTCGGAGATGAGGTCCAGGTCGGTGCTGATGCTCTTGATCTTGTCGAGGCTGGCCAGAGTGGCAATGGAAACATACTGGTCGCTGTCCATCTGAGAGTTGAGGTACAGGTCGTTGCCGAGGTGTTCCCTGTGGAGAGACAGAAGAGAGCAACGGAGGAATGTTTGCAGACGTTAAACGACGGGGGTTAAATAACAGCGTTAACATGTTTCCTGTTTTATCGGAGCACTGGCATCACATTCTGAATACTGTTTCTATGCTTTCGGTGATCGGTGATCGTCTGAATGACTTCTTCAGGAGAACTGCTGTTACCTGGTCAGACAGGACTCCAAAACTGTCCTCAGCTGTTGTTTGACCTCATCTGAAATCAAAGGAGGTCATTAGCACATCTGAGCAGACCTGGGTTCATTTTACAGTAATGAAACATTAACACAGCTGATACAGACTGATACCTGTGACCGGCGGGGCACTGGGCTCTCCGTTAACTAAAGGAGCTTCAGCAGTCAGCATCTGGTACTCGAGCGTGCTGGGATCGGACTCAACCACGTTGTCCAGCTCGAACTCTGGCATGAATCCTAAAAATGAATCACGCAGACGATTTCTCTTCGAGGAACAAACTCCTTATCACAAAATAACTTACTGACTTAACTTAACTTAGGAAACGTGATCGTTTGATTAAATCTAAGTCCAGCCCACCTTCGTGATTGGTCAGGTCGTTGGGGAATTGCACCCATGGCTGCTGCGGCTGCAGGTAGGCGGGGCCGGGGACGTCCAGGTTAAAGTTATCGTTGGTCCATACCTCAGCATCAGGGTTAAGGCTGGGGGCAGCAGCAGGTCCCTGAAACACAAAGACACAGTGCGCACAATGTCAGTCCAACATGAAAACTCAAGTTTCATTTAGAAGAATCTTTTAAGAGACATGATTTACTTTGAAAGAAAAGAATAATATAAACGTTAACAACAATAAGAGACACCAGTTGTGAGTTCAGGTGTTTGAGACGGACAGAAAACGTTCTCTAGCATCTCTCAGTAAATATGATCCAATCTAAAATGTGTAATTGAGCGTTCAGGATAAAATCTATAGAACTAAACGCTCCCTAATAAAAAAGAAAACATCTTTATCAAAATAAATTGATTAGATTCACTCTCGGACTCTCAGCTAATTCAACATAAAGCACCTTTTTCACCAGTTTAAATAAAGTATTATCGTCCTCTTGAATCTGAGTTTACTTTGTTACTTCAAGGCGGTTGTTTTACAAGAAGTCTACGTTCCCACGTTATTATCTTTGTGTCCTTTCACTGTGAGTGAGCGTCCAGAACATCTGTGGGAACGACCTCTACTTGTTACGTGACTAGTTCAGCGCTCAGTCTTCGCTCTGTACATGAACGTGTCGATAAACACTCCAAGTTTTTTCCCCCTGACAGAATATTCTCTTCAGTTCTGGAGATAAGACATTAAATCAAACACTTCCACTGAACCCAGCTGCCTCACGTGAACACTTACAGGCGGAGTGCAGTCTGTGTGCCAGTCCCACACACAGGGTCCCTGAGGCATCACAGTGCTGAAGGGGTAAGCTCCCAGCAGAGCCATAGAGGGCTGGAGCTCTGACACCAGGGCCGGGATGTGCTCAGAGTCGCTGCCGGTCCGGCTCTCGCCCCGGCCGGGCTCGGCCTCGGCGGCGCCCTGGGCCCAGCCCGCGCAGCTCTCCTCCAGACCCAGCTTGATCCAGGGTTGGGGATAGAGGCGGCAGATGGAGGAGTCGGCGTCCTCTCCCAGCAGCTCGGACACCATCTCCCTCATCCCTCCCTCTCTCTCCCCCTCCTCCGCAGTCGGCGACGGCTCGTGACCCGGGAAGTGAATCTCGTACGATGGAGTTGACGCGTAGACGTCAATCTGACCCGGGTCCACGCTGATCGAGTCGGGGTCCAGAACCGAGTCATCCAGACAGCTTAAGTCGTCAGGAATCACGTATGTGTCACAGATGACTGCGACACTTTGGGACAGAGTCTCGGGAGCTGAGATGTCGGGAGTTTCAGGAGGAATGTCGGCGAGCTCCTCCTGAGACGTTCTGGGGAGTTCTGGGGGTCCGGAGGCTGTTTGAGGAGTTCGGGGGTTCGGTTCTACTGTATCTGCAGACGACAGAGGCAGATCAATATCAGGTGTGTCTTCCTCCTCTGGCCGATCGACCTTCAGCTGTGTTTCTCTGCATCCACCGTCGGCAGGATCACCATCCTCCGACGACGTGAACGGGGACAAGGAGGAGGAGGGTGGCGTGGAGGAGGAGGTGAAAGAAAGCTCACTTCCAGCAGGAGGAGGCCGTGTGAGAAGACTGAGACTTGAGTCTTCGGTGCAGCTCTGTGGGTCTTCACAGGACTCTGACAACGCGACGCATTCTCCGTCACTCGTCTCCAGGTGAGACGTGTTTCCAGCTGCGACGTCACCTTTCTCCACGTTTATGCTGTCCTGAAACATTTCTGGTGTCGGTGCTTTTGTCTGCCGGTCGTCTCCGCTCATGAGGACGTCCTCGATGAGCTCCTCCGGGTCGTCGTGCAGAGGCCCCGACGCACCTTCGAGCTGTTCGTCAGGTTCGGTGAGAAGAGCTCCGACGTCTCGACCGGGGAACTTAACGCGGCTCAGCTCGAACGTCGGATCGTTCGAATTGACGTCTAATTTCTCCGGTGTGATGGAGTCACGCTGGCGAGATGCGTTTCCTCCAGGCGACGTCTCCTCCTCCTCCTCCTCCTCGTGCGGCGCTCCGAGGTCGAGGTCGAGCTTTGAGGAGCTCCGATTGGAAGTATCTGGTTCAGGAGCCTCGGCCGACTCGTGCAGACGATCGACCAGAGGGTTAAAGTCGGTGGTCGTCTGCTCTGCTGCTCTGTGGCCCTCCATGTACACACTCACCACGTACACAGACTCCTCTGTTTGCTGCGCAGCTTCGTGGCGAGGCGGATCTTCAGGAGGTTCCTCGCCGTTTATCTGCGGGTCACACAGAACAACAGGAGGTTCGGTGGTCTGCTCTGCTGAGGGCGAGCTGTCTGAGGGAGTCTGTGACGGAGCGGTGGAGGAATGTTCTGCGGCGTGCGATTGTGCCGGAGCCGGTTCCCCGCCTGTCGCTTCAGGCTCTGTGACACACGACTGGTCGCGTGCGTCTGCGTGTGATTGGCTGGAGACCGGAGGCACCACTATGCAGGGCGGAGCAGCTGTTTGGGATCGGCCGTCCTGTTCAAGGTCGTCGGCGTCGATGGAACAAATGCTGTAGAAGCTCCACGTCCGCGTTTCGAAACCCTGACCGAGTGTTGTTGTGACGACGCAGACCTCCTCCTCCTCCTCCTTCAGCTCGGCTGCGGGGGAAACCTGCTGCGTCTCCTGACAGACGCTGACCGGCGGCGGCGGCGGCGGCTGGCAGTTAC